TCTTAAAAAACTAGTCCTTTAGGAATTAATACAAAGATCGATGAGTTGGTCGTAAAACAGTTTGACCAACATAGGATTCAAATCCTCTATGTATCAAGGACTGTATGTTCCTCGCATAAAAACGACTCTAAAATCAATCATTTTTTTAGCTAAAAGGACACATTTTACGTACTCGCTTCAGGCTCCATTATTTAATTTACGTACCGTGGTTATCACTGCCTTTTTGTTCGATGTGTTGTTCTCTCCCTTTTCATGATAATTTTTTTCATGGTTCTCTGGTTTTTCTTCCTCCATAAAAATCGACATATGTGGGTTGTGTKTTGGGTGTCGTAGTTAATGTATTGGAAGTCACACTGGGAGTGAACCTCAAGGAAGAGTTTCAGATAAGCTGTCGATCTGTGTACAAGGTTCATGACCTATAGTTGTACGAAGGGTGGATAGCGCGATCCCACACGTACGGATAGATCTTATCCAGATCTTATCGGATAGCGTTATCCATTCTTCGTACAACCGGGCCCAGGCCAGGCAAGTTGTAGTAAAGCTCGTTTAGATTGAATGGAATAACATGACGTTACTTAACAATTGTCCAGGATATATTTTCATGGTCTGACCGAGGAAACATTTTCATGGTTTCACCGACTAATTCAATAATTTGGTTTACGATTGCAAACTAATCATCCTTATGGATCAGGCTTTCTGTTCTATTTCCTCAATGATTAAAAATGCAGTCGACAAAATGATGCTAAACCATAGGTTTATGCTAGCGTGTTTCACCGCCAGGCGCATTTAATGCACAGACAAGAGATCATGGTCTCTTGGTACAGATTATGAAAATAAAGATAACGAAAGAAAAGTAAGACTTAAAGAAGAGAGGGGAAAGGAAATGAAATGAAATGAAATGAAAGGAAATAAAAGCGAAGTAAAGCACACGAAAGGAAGGCAAAACAAAGCAAAGCTGACGAAAGGAAAGGAAAGGAAAGGAAAGCATAGTATAGAGAAGGGGAGGGTAAAAACTATTTTTGTACGTAGTTGCTCTTGTTTTCACTCAACAATCGATGTAAACATACATGTACATGTAGATCAGTAATTAAAATTACCAATTTACTTATTAGCTCTTGATATATCTGCTACAAAGAATGAGAGAAAAGGGGGGGGGGGGGAAATCACACGTGTCGGCTATCACCAATGCTACCCCCCTAATTCGAATCCTGTCCCGATGAGTATGTGAGTAGAGTTGTTTGTTGGTTCTCTCCTGTGCTTCGTGAGATTTTTTCTCTGGGTCCTCCGGTTTTCCTCCCTCCTCAAAAATCAACTTCTAAATTCTAAATAAATTGGCCAAAAGAATGGTAGTATTTAACTGACAAATAATTTTAAATTAGTAGTTAACAGTTAACTGA